CGTCTCTCTCTCTCTCTCTCTCTCTCTCTCTCTCTCTCTCTCTCTTTTTTAATGTTTTCTCCTGGGATATATTTCAGTGCAATATATCCAAGTGTCAATGAGGGGGAAACGATGAGCACTGATTCTCAGCCTCTCAGCAGGATCATTCTCTAAGAGAAATATAAAAGTGAAATATTAAAAACCCTGGAACGTGAAATCCATCCATCCGCAGCCCTAGCCAGTCTCTCTCACTCACTCCCTGAGAGGTGGGAGGGGGAAATATCTATCTTGAAAAAAAAAAGCGGAGGAGGGAAAAGAAGTGCTTTGAGCAAGAGGTTTACATGTTTAGTAGAGCATAGTAACATCCCTTCAAAGGAGTGGGTGTTGCTCTGTGACCCACTCCAAGACACCCCTCCTTTGACTTCAGCACTTGGACACTAAACATCCCCCATTTTCACATGCTAACTGTGATTGGATGAACAATAACCTGGTCTCACATTCTAAAGGACTGGAATCTTTCACACAATTAGCCGAGACACATTAATCAAACTGGCGTGAAATTTGGAATGTGTCGCCTTCTGCAGCAACTTGCTAGTCTGGCTGGGAAGGGAGCACAGAGCAGACAGTTGGGGGGAAATGATCGGCTTTCCTCACTGAACGCTGGATTGGGATACTCTGACTCATAACAGTGATCAATATTTTATAGCACAAACTATTCCAGACTGCTTGTGGAATAAGGCAATCCTTATGCAACTAAGGGTAGCATAATCTGACCCAAGGAAGGGAATTTTCTGATGTCACCAGAATTAACACCACTCACAGGCAGAGTTGCTGTAAGTTTTAGCACCAAACTCCACCCAGTCCAAACTGTACACATTCAAATGCTGTCCTGGGTGACCGTGATGACACGAGAGCCGATACACTTCCATCCGTGGGGGGGGGGGGGAGGGCAGGATTCTAGGCAGTCTTGAAATTGTTTAAGTGAAAATGGATCAGGCCATTTTTTAAGTGAAAATGGATCAGCTCTCTATCTGGTTTTGAAACCGCTTCATCTGAAGTGGTCTGAAAACCAGTGAGAAAGTTTCCACAGTGTAGACAAGCCCTAGGAATTCAAGAGGGCAGAGCAGGCTTCCCAACTGCTGTGCAGCCCACAGGCAAGGCATTTCTGTGGGTGGGGCAGACCGGGGGCATGGGAGCTGGTGGACACATCCCTGTATATGTCCCCTCTATTCAGGCACCCACATGGGGGAAGGAAGGAGGATGTGCTGCAGTCCTAGCAGCTACTGAAGCCACTTCTTTGTAAACCACCAAGACGGATTCCTTTCCCGTCCTCAGACCCCCCCCGCCGAATGACTCCCGCACACACCTGGCGGTTCTTGCCATACTCTCGAGCCAGCATTTGATTCTAAATCAGGAATACATGAACCCGTTTGGATAAAATAAGAACCAACCTGGGCATCTGCCCTAGACATGAACTGAACCAACCCATTCCTGGTGCGGGGAGAATGGGCGGGGGGGGGGGGGAGGGGATAGATGAACAAACATGGTCTCTTTTTTTAAATGTATTTTTCATTTGCACACTGTTCTGCACTTTCTGCTTCCACCCAAAGCAAAAGTGCTGTTATCCCTAAGATATGCCAA